AAGAGAAGGACATGATAGCAGTGTGACAATATTGGAGGGGCTGCCCCAAAGAGGAGGGGGTCACCCTATTCTCCAAAGCATCCGAAGGCAGGACAAGAAGCAACGGATAGAAACTCATCAAGGAGAGAAGCAATGTGGAATTAAAGAGAGACTTCCTGACAGGGAGAAACAATTCCCCCATGGAACAACCTGCCTCCAGAAGTTGTGGGTAATCTAACACTGGAGGTTTTTAAGAAGAGCCACTTGTCTCAGATTAGGGTCTCTTGCTTGAGGTTGGACTAGAAGACCTCCCAAGGCCCCTTCCAGCTCTATTCCGAGCTGAGCTGAAATCTGTATGACTTATCCTTTTCAACCCTAACAAAGAGGCCCAAACCAGGACCGACCCCCATTTCCCCCCCCCCCCCCAACAATAAGGGGGGGGGGGGGGGAGAATCCCCCTGGGGGGCAAAGGGAAACCCCCGGGGGGGGGGGCGCTCTTGGGAGCCTTGGACGTACCCAAATGTGTTGTTCCGGCTACTGTCACCGAAGATAAGATGTTGGAGGACGTGGGCTTGAACGGCTGCCAGGACCCCGCACGGCCCACCCTGGAAGAGGCCAGGAAAGAACGGAGGAAAACAATACGTGTGAAAAATTCTCTGCAGCTGGGATCTCTTTTCACCTGGCTGACCGCCTCCCCCCCCCCGCCAACCCCCGGCCACCGTTGTCCTTGGCGGCTGTCCGGTGACCCTCGTAGATACAATGAGATCTGACCCTGCCAGGTTCTTAATTGAAACTTCAGGTCCCTGGACCTTTTCCTGGAGAGGCCGAGCCAGGTTAAGATACGTGGTGGAGGCTTTGTACTGCGCCCAAAACTGAAAGCATTTGGGTTTTTCTGGAGGTTAAAAATATTCAGGGGGGAAAGAAAGGGCCGCAGAGGACGGTTTTAAAGTCCTGTTTCAAAGAGACCAGGTTGGACAGCAGAACTCAGGAAACTAAGTTAGAATTTGGAGGGTTGGAGGGAGGAGAGAGAGTGTGTGTATGGGGGGGGGGCGGTGTTGAATGGTTCTTCCAACCTCCCCCCACCCCGGGCAGGGCATTTACTGATCCATAAAAGGTGTTTTTGGATGAAAAAAAAAAACGGACGTACAGGCAGCCCCTTGACTTACGACCAACCAATGGTGGTATGCTACCGATTTGGCACGGTTCTACCGAGCTGGTAGCGCCAATGACCAGCAGAGACCAAACTGGTTCTTCTCTGTTGCTCTGCTGTTGGGACCACCTGCGCTCTCTTACTCACCTTTATTCCCTCCCTTTTGAAGCACAGCTGCTTTCGCAGCACATCAGTGCAGGCGTGCAGGAGGTGAGTTGGAAAGCCTCTGCGCCTGCACAAAAGTGCGCGTTTGGCAGTGCGCATGCAAGCAAAGTGTGTGCACGCGTGCAAAGCGCGCCTACTCAGCCGCACCCGCCAAACCGGCGGTAAAAGTTTTTGAATCCCACTACTGGGCCCCACGTTGGCTAAGGGGCAGGGGTTGTTCAGTGAGTTTTGACCCACTTTGCGATCTTTCTTGTCCAAGTTGTTAAGGGAGTCACTGCAGCGGTTGAATTAGTCACACTGTCGTGAAGCGATTCCAGCTCCTCCCGTCGACTTTACTCGTCAAGAGGTCGCAAAAAAAGGGAATCGTGTGACCCCAGGACGCTGCAACCGTCATAAATACGAGTCAGTTGCCGAGCGTCTGGGTTTGGATCACGTGACCGGGGGGGGGGGGGGGGGAAACGCTGCAACGGTCGTAAGTGTGAGGAGCCAGTCATAAATTACTTTTTTTCAGTAGCCACTGCAACTTTAAACATTGTAACTTTACAACTAAGGGTTGTAAATCAAGGACTACCTATACAATGGAAAATGTCTATGGAGATTCTCAGTCCTCCAAGTCAGGGTTGTCACAGAGGTGCTTTTTCAGGAGGCAACTAGGGACAACAGCTGGAGCACCACTCAGGTGATCCTGAGGACACAGATAAACCTCCAAGTGGCCTCAGTGAGCCTCCAAAAGGGTGCAAATGACCAGCTGCCTGCAAGGAGTATAAATCCTTCTATTCCCCACCATGCAGTCAGAGCTGAAGAAGCTTCTTGGGTGAGAAGTGAAATGTCTTGAAAATAAAAAAAAATAAAAAACAAGATTTGTTTTTCCTTGAAGACATTTCACTTCTCATCCAAGAAGCTTCTCAGTTCTGACTGAGTGGTGGAGGATGCAAGTGGCCTCAACGACTCTCAGAGAGAGTACTAATAACCCGATGATTGTGACGAATATAAATCCTTGTCTTCCAACATGTGGACCTGAGGACACAGACAAACCTCCAGGTGGCCTCAGCAACTCTCTAAAAAGAACGCAAATGACCATCTGTGTCTGCAAGGAATTCCCCACCATCCAGTCAGAGTTGAAGAAGCTTCTTGGATGAGAAGCGAAATGTCTTCAAAGAAAAATAAGAAAGACCAGTTGTCTTTTTTTGGGGGGGGGGGGGGGAA